AATTAAAAAGTTTATAAAAAATAAATGAAAATTAAATATTTTTAAAAATTTGAAATTTGAAAGTTAAAATAAAAAACATTTTCAGTTTAGGCCTGACATTTTTTTTCATTTTGGTTTTGAAATCTCCATTTCGGTGCACCTCTACTAATATTTCATTGTACCGCCATTAGCTTTGATTACAGTATGCATTCGCTGTAGCAATGTTTTGATAAGCTTATGCAATGTCACAACATTTATTTCCGTCCGTAGTTGCATTTAAGATTTTGTAGTGATGATTGGAGAGTCAGACCTCTGTGTAAAGTCTTCTCCAGCACATCCCAAAGATTCTCAATGGGGTTAAGGTCTGGACTCTGTGGTGGCCAATCCATGTGTGACAATGATGTCTCATGCTCCCTGAACCTTTCACCATCTGAGCCCGATGGATCCTGGCATTGTCATCTTGGAATATGCCCAATGGGCCATCAGGGAAGAAAAGATGCATTGATGGAAAAACCTGCTTATTCAGTATATTTAGGGCAGCAGCTGACCTCATTTTTTGGGGACACAACATTGCTGAACTTAGACCTGCCAAATGAAGCAACCCCAGATCATAACACTGCCCGAAATCCTGGTGGTAACTTTTTGTTTGGCCAGGCAGTGTATATACAACAATGTCAATACACTAACAATTCAACAAAACTGTCATCTAGACTGATATTTCCAAGGTTATAAACTTCCTTCAAGTAGGCCACTTGTTGTGGCTCAAATGACACGTTTTGCAATGTGCTTCTTCAAGGATGGAGGTATGTTCTAGTACGATGCTAATATAAAGAGCAATAAAAAAACTGTAAACAGTGTGATCAAGATGACATTTGAGAAAGTTTCATGATTGCACAAACTTAATTGACACCTTTTGCAGTGATTTACTTATACCTGGTTAAAAAACAGGGGTTCCTCCCAATAGGGTGTTTGGGGCCACAACGAGGTCAACAGACAAGGTGTGAGGAAGTAAAAATTTCACTTGCTGTCCTGAAGGATGGTAAAATTACAGTAGGTTGAGGGGAGCTAAAACAGAAATAAATAAATAAATACAATATATAATATAATGTATCAGTTCCCAAGCCTGAAATGTATGTAAGTGCATCTCCTACTAATGTGTTTCATTAGGGAGAAAGACCTGAAGGCTCTATATCAGCTGTCACTAAATGGCAGACCACAGTCTGGACACGGGCCAAGTGGCGGCCCTGACTGGATCACAAACGCTGTCCTGCATTGGGTTATGGCTGCCTGACAGTGGATACCCCGCCCTCCAAGGCCAGCCATAACCCAGCGCAGCTCCCTCTCCACTTCAGTCGTTGGTTTGTTAGGACCACTGGTGTCCTAGCAACCAATTATGTCAGGCAGGGCCACCTATAAGGGGATACAGCCAGCCCTGCCATATTGGGCCTGGTCCCTACCTCTGCCCCCTTGCCGTTGCTTTTGTGGTCCCCCACTCCTCTGGGGGCCTGGGATTTTTTTTGCAGAGGGTGTCAGGATGGAGAGCGGGAGAAGAATAAGGAATATGCGTTCCCCGATCGGCTCTGCGTGCTATCATTGCTTCCTGCTTCAGAGCTGTCAAAACGCAGCTGAAGTGCAGGGTAGGGTAGGAGAGACACCCTGCCCTATCCTGTCTACCCTGGGTAGGACAGGATGTCCTCCAATAGGGACAGGGCCTACCCTGTCTTTATTGGAGGGCAGCAGAAACTTCAGAAGTCTAATTGACCCCAGATGTCTCCATAAAGAGAACCTGTCACCTCCAAATGCTGTCACATAGGGGCTTGTTACCGCAGACTGCGGTACGCATACGGATTGAGTGACCTTTCTGTCCGGACCGTGATTTGGATGGATTGCTCTATGAAAATGTTACTCACCGGGCCTCCTTGAATTTTAATTTGCTATGTATAACCTAAGTATATAGTGATGACTTCTACCACCACATCATGTCCTTACAAGAAACCTCCACACAAACCAGACCTTAATCCACCCTCAAAGTGATAACCTCTCCGGGTATGCTAAGTATGTGAACCTCGTCAGCACTACCACACATATATTATTATATCCTTCATAAGTCCTCAATTGTCAAACATTGCTCTAAGGGCGCATAAATAATGTATCAATATAAATACGTGTGATCCCACCACCTATCCCTACCTTGTATATGATGCTTACAGTCTCCCATTCCCAGCATACTGCCTGTCTAGCGTTCCTCTCCCTTCCTTATGGACCTCCCCTGATGTCACACCACGTGCTTGGAACGGGAGACTGCATGTGGTCCTTGGATCAAATGTCCTTAAATCGAATCCTGACCAGGACACAATCAGCATGGAGCTTGCATGTTCTCCCTGTGCTTGATGGGTTCCCTCCACACCCCAAAGACATGCTGGTAGGGTAATTGGCTCCTGTCTAAATGGGCCCTCTTATGTGAGATATGGCTCTTAGATTCTAAGCTCCTTAAAGGTGGGTGACGTGAATGTAATAACCCTAATAAATAAATGTAAACACAATACAGAAACATTGTGTTTGCAATGATTTGCTACAAGGCTCCTATGGAGTGGTGTAAAGCAAGATCCAATGCCCAGGAGTTGTTGGTCTCACTACCTGGGGTTAGTGCTGGATGTTACTGACAGCCGGCGTTTCCATCCCGGACCCTCCAGGGACGATGATTCCTGATGCCGTTTTACAACGGCGTTCGGACAAATAGCCAATTTCCCAGTAATGTTTTAGAAGTGCGTCTGGGGGTCAAGTGTTGAACCGAGGATCTCACAGGATTTCTGGCAGAACAACAGGTGTTTTACTTTACTATATGTTTCACTTTATTTTATATATATATAATTATATATATATTGTACAGGACGCCAGAAGATAGGTCCTGGGAGAAGTGTATATTTC